ATTTAATCTTTCTTGACGTGATTACTCCCTGAATATCTTGAATCAGGTCTGAGTTGGATCCTGACTTGAGCCTGATTCTTCCAAAACGTTTGTTACGAAAAAAGTGGAAAAGAAACTAGAAGCCTGAATGAACCCGCACAATCGACCCACTTTCAAACTAATGTCCTAAGCATAATGCAAAGAAATCGGAAGACAAATAAGTTTTCAAATGATTTTTTTTATTCCTCTCCTGTAATAAAACAAAAAAAATTGGAAAACTTTTCAAGCAATCTTTTCTATCCCAACTAAATACATCGCAGAATTTCGAGGGGGTCTTGTGTAACTTGAAATAAAATTTTCTGTTTTTGGGAAAGGAGAAAAACAAAAGAATGGACAGGCAAGCAGAGTTAGCCGATATCATTGAAGCAGGAGACCGAAAAGAGCGTGCGGGGATCTGAGATTCTGAGCATGCTGAATTTTTGTTATATTAGAAAGTGCCATTTTTCACCCGTTACCCAATCACAATTCCAAACGGGAGCCAGATCAGAGAAAAACCTCCCATATATTTCTATTAACCTTTCAGATGCAGATATATCTGACAGACAGATACTTGAATGATCCATAGCACGGGTCACCGAAAACTGAGTTACTTGCATGTATCTCACAGCTGAATCTGCCGTTGTATTTGGCCATTAGTTTCGAGAGGGAGCTCGATGCATGACAGGAAGTTGTACGAATATTGGAGTGTTGACAGACGTAGCGGTTACGTCTCCCATTAGACGCGTACGTTACAGAAATCTTTTTCCCATATGTGCACCCAATAACTGCTTTGCCATGCTCGCAAATAATGGAGGATAGGTATGCTAAGTAAAAGAAAGAGAGACAAAATTTCTGCCTCAATTAAACAACCGAACTCTTCCAAAAGTTGCTAACAGAAAATAAATTATATCTCCCGTGCTGCTGGCTAAGAAAAGAGGAAGGGATGGTTCCAACCCTTAAACGCTTTAGGACATAATTGTTGAAAACCAGCTTCTGGAGATATCAAGGGAAAGAATGACGTAACAATTTTTTAGGTCAAAGATAAATAGTGAAATTAATAAAAATTATGCTTTTGGCAAACGTGTTTAGCTAAATAAGTTTGTTTTACGGACACACGGCATTTGGGGGCGTAAGGTCCACTTAAGAGACGAGAAAAGCGAAAAAAGTTTATCTCACGCTTTTATCTCAAACAAAGCAATCTATCTTAAGATAAATGGCCAAACCTCCCTAGAGTATTGAAAGTAGAATTGGAGAGATTCCTTCACACCAACCCCT